TCCCAAAATTACTTCAACGGAAGGTTTCCAGATGGATATGCGGAGCAAATCCATCTGACGGAGTCAGGTTAAAGAAAAAGTGCTTCTATAAAAATTCATGAAAAACACTCTGAGAGTGAAAGAAACGCTTTTTTATTTGGTCCAACATAACCTTAGAGGCATTAATGCTGATACTGGCACTGACATTATTTAGTTTATAAATCTAAATATAATTGTGAACTAGGCTTATTAACCTTTTAACTTTTCATTTAACTTTTTACCTTTTTTTTCTTGTTGACTTTTTTTTCCCCAGCTTAATTTACATCTCAGTGAGAGGGCTCATCTAATTGTTCAAATGCCAAAATCAGATGTCCAGCCATATAGCAGGATCTTTGCTGAATGGCTGGATATAGATCTTTTGCTTCTAGAGCTCACTAAGGGACAGGGGTGGTGATAAAAAATGTAACTAGCCCTATAAATGGTGAATTTTTATAATGTAAATTGAAGAATTTTATGGCATTGTGTCCCCTCATAAGAGAAAAAGTTGTCCTTCAACATGTAGTGCATTATAAATAATCTAACTTGAGTTTAAATGTCTTTCTGCCCAAATGATTGATCAGTTTTGATGTTGGCTACATTTAGAGAACAGCGATAAAAGCAGAACAACCAAGACCAGCCAGGTTTAGATGGAGAAAAACCCGAATGTTCTGCCAAATGCCTTCATGGCTCCCTTCCTTCTAGCACTGCTATCTTCCTCATCCCTCATCTGTCATCAGCTGCTCTTCTTTCTTCTATCCTCCCTCTCTTTAATAGGATTAGAATAATGAAATAGAGCCAGTGCCTTTGGCAGAACCCAGATGATGGAGTTCATTGATGGAGAAAGCTTCTTATCAGACCTTAAATGTCTCTGCTTTTGTTCCCATGAAGAAAAGTCGTTGAAGATACGTTTTTTTACCAGATGTAATGCTGATGACTCTCTGTGATGTCTATAGTCATCCTCATTTAGGCTGCAGATCGTCTGCAAAGATGGTCTGAGATGGATCAAATGCAAACAGGAAGTGGTGATTGCATCACAATTTCCTCCTCTCTTCAAAGCCCTGCATGCTTTTATAGTGGCTTTTCAAACATGGTTTCCTTCGCAGTTCAGTAAACATACCAGACAGTTACAAATCGCTGGCAGATTCCTCCCCTGCTGGTGTGTAGATCTGCATAGCTCTGTTTAGCTGAAAGCTCAGTGCGTTTCTAAAGAGACATCCATATTTATATATATTAGAAGAAGAAAAAGCACAGGTTAAAAACTTAAGATAAATCACAAGACAGAAGTCAATGTCACAAATGAATAACTTTTATTTTAGAGTCACGGTATGTTTATACAAGATAATACTATTAATATAATGTGACTTTTCTACAGAATCATTATAAATAGTTATTTTATTCAGGGTTTCCACAGTCTGACATCATTTCAGAATTCCCTGACTTTTAACTGATCAGGATCAGTTTTCCCTGACAGAATAAATGCAGCAACAAGACAATAATAATAACATAACAGGTCGCCAATTTAACATGTTTAGCTCTATAACATTTAAATGCACCTCTCCAATGTCTAAGAGAAAAACATTTAATGAGCATTTTTAATGTATGACCTGCATCACTGTACAGAAGACTGCCATATGATCGCCATATTGACACTGTGCGCATGGCGAACAATTATGCCAGTTTTACTAATCCCTGACCGATCATTTTTAATCTAGGGTTATCTGGGTCGAGGGTAAAATAGGTGGTGGGGGTGTTACTGTACTTACATTTTTTTTGCCTTGTTGTTGTTTCTTAGCCTGCCAAGTCGAAAAAAATATGTCTGATTCGCGCCAATTCCTGGACAAAAATTACGCCATCTGGCAGAAAATCTTGCGGCTTTTTCAAATCACACGAGAATGTGTACAAAACAACAAAATTGGCACCGGCAATGCTTGTGGGTCCTTTTTTAAGCAAATTTCGGTGATTTAAAAGTAATTTTGAGTGATAAATATTTTTTTTTGCGATCATTGCACTTGCCCGGCGGGCAAATGCAATGAAATTTGTACTCTCCCAACAATAAAAGCTACTTGCCCCAATGGTTAACATAGAGCCCTGATATATATCTATATATATCTATATATATCTATATATATAGATATATATATATATTAGGGATGGAACGGTTTATGAAAACCGTCCAAACCGTTCAGTCCGACTGTCTCGGTTCGGTTCGCGTGTGTTGCGTTCGGTTCATGCGCTGCTCCTTTTTCTCACAGGCGAAGCG